ATTCCAGAGGGCCCCCGCTCACCGGCCACCTGCCCATTCTATGCCCACCAAGGCCTGTGCTACGGACAGACTGGAAAACACAGCATCCACATTTAAACATGTCTCTACAGAAACAAAGACAACTCTCTAAATCTGATTGCAATACTTTTTTGGACAACAGAGCTAACATAACAACGTCTTCACATCACTTCCTAAAACCTTCCTTCCTGATTTTTTAGGGGTAATCCCAGCTGTGAGGGGGCGCATCTGGGCCTGCTGGCCCTGACATCAGCTCCCTGCTCTAGGAAGTCACTCTCCCTGGGTGTGAAGCAACTGGCTCGGGAGGCAGATCTTTAGGTGCCAGGCCTCGTGTTTTGTACTCAGTGTTGATTAACTGAATCCTCACAGCGACCATCTAGGAGAGAGGTTTCTGAGCTTTGTGCTGACGAAAAAAATGAAGCCAGGAGAGAAGAGAACTGTCCCAGGGTCACCGAGCGACACGCAGCCGAGCCCAGGTTCACACGCACCCCTGCAGCCTAGAAACACACCGCTCACGTGGCCAGCACAGCCCCCAGCCCGCAGCTCAGGGGCCCCCAGGACCACCCTGGCCACCCTAAGTTCTGCCCAAGCAGTGTGAGTGGAGGCCGTACTCCACAAGGAGCTAGGGACCCCGGTCTACGTCTGAGGAGCATGAGAACCCTCAGGAGCCCGCTCAGGCCCTCAACGCCCCGGGGCGTGGGTCCCGCAGGCAGGACCAGCTGAGAGTGGACGGACCCGGCTGGGGAAATCATCACAGCACTTCCTCTCTTCCCGCCCCCTGAGCCGGCGTCGGCGGGCCGCGGGCTGTCCCTCCTGAGCGTTCAGCATCGCTTCCCAGAATCAACACTCCTCTGCGTTCAAAGCAAACACACAAATTTTCCCCCCTTTTAAACTTGTTGTGCTAAACAAATGAATCTAACACCAGATTAGATTATGAAGAACCATAAATCTTTTCCAAGATAAGCGTCTGTCATGTTGGATCGGCAGTGGCCAATGTACTGTGAATTAATTTGCTAAACCTTATAATGCCGGCCCGGGCATTTTACTTTAGCCATAACAAATTTAATTCGAAATAAATGGGAGCTAGTTTGCTCAGCCATGTCTGTACAGTAAGTGACGTATGCAGAGGAGGTGGCAGCAAATGAAGGCAGCGCTAAATTCTATTACAGTGATGGCTTGTGAGTTTATTGAGATAAAAACGAATGCTTTGTAAACCGCTCTTGGAAGCCTGGCACAGAGATGTCACACAGGCTCTCTGTGTCTGTAGATTCTGGAAGGAGGCTACGTGGGAGACGGTGGAGGTGCCGCCCCACAGACCCTCTCCAGTGATGCTCCCGGCCCCCGGCCCCCGGCCTGAAATGAAGCTTGGGTTTGCTTCCACAGACACGCTGCTCTCTAGGGAAGAGTTGCTCAGAATAAAGACTGCAGGTCTCTTGTCCGGGTGCAAGAAGGAAGTAGATCAAAGAACAAAAGCCACCCACTCCACGGAAACCTGCCCGACTACTGACCACAGCCTGCCTGCCGGCCAGGATGCAGGGTCTGGGGCACCCACAGCATGAGCGGGACAGTGTGGCAACCCGGCTGCAGAGGGACCCTGAGGAGCCGTTCTCTTCTGTCCCCTGGGTTCTGAAGAGGACCCGTGTCGGGCCCAAGCCCCACGGAAGAGGAGAAGCAAGCTGGGGGTGGAGGAGGCGGCCCGGAGTCCCCACCCCTTTGTGCTTATGCCCTGGAATCTGCATCCTATTTTACAAGTCAGCAAATACGGCCCCTTAGTCTAAGGTGTGCACGCACAGATCCAATCTGTGAACCCGGGAGTCAGGCTGGGGCGTGGGGCCTAAGGGTGCCGGAGGAGGCTCGGAACACAGGGGACCGGAATGCTGTGCCATCCGGCTAGATTTCAGGAGCAGAGCCCAGCCTGAAGCCGGGTGCGTGCTGGGGGGTCACAAGTGAAGGGACAAGCTTTGGCCTGGGAGGTTTTCACGTCGAAGCAATTGGAGGGTTACAGGAGGAAAAAGAAACACAGAGGAAGCTGTGGTAGATATGCTGAGGCCAAGACGCGCCAATTGTCTACATGCAGCTGGAATAACACGGGCAGAAGAACCAAAGCCATTCGTCTGATCTCCGACCTCCAAACACCTCCTGATCCATCTTGTGGGAAAAGATAGCCCAGCCTGAGTCAGTGTGCAAAGCCTCAACCGACACCGCAGGGAGTTAATTCCTCCTGATGCCTGACCTCAGTCTTTCCTGCTGTTTAAGGTCATTCCTAGTTCTGAGCCAGTCCGGCAGTCGCCCCTCCTAGGGTCACACCCTTGAAGGTTTCTGAAGAGGCCACACAGCCCTACTCCATCAGCAGATGCGCCCACGTCTTACTCCCGAGCTGGCCCAGGAGAGGAAGTTCTGCCACAAAGGACACTGTGGCTCTGTGTCTGGTGGGGCTCAGACACCCCTGACCCAGGCCTGGCGGGTACAGGGTCCACTTTCAGGCCACCACTAAGGAGAGACTCTCTCCCTTCTCCCTCCACCAGACAGAACAGCCTAGCCCCTCCCTCTACGGCACAACCCACGTGTGCCAGGGCACACCCACGGGCAAGTTCATGGACACACAGCGCCCCGTCTCTCCCTGAGGCGCCGTTTAGGTTCCACTGTTGGGGATCGGGGAGTCCCACCAGACAGCATCTCCCGGGCACAGCGCAGCGTCCCTTCTAAGCCCCACCCCAAAGGCCCCCCCAAGCGGACCCCGACCAGAAAAGAGGTGCGTACCTGAGGTCTCCCCCAGAACCCGCGGGGGCTTGCTGTCTTTGTCACTGTCTTTGCTGGGACTGGTGGAAGTCTCCGTTGTGCTAACCCCAACCAGGATTCTACTCCTGGGGTCCAGGGGCTCGGTGACCCCTTGAGTCTGCAGCGTCATGGAGGTGGCCGTGGTGGCGGTGGCGGTGGTGGTGGCAGTGGCCACTGTTGTCTTTCGTGTTTGGAAGATGGAGACCGTGGTGGGGCCGTAAATGCCCGGAAATGTGTTGGACTCCAGGGCCTCCTCCTCCCCTGTGGGCCCCCAGGCAATGAACTCTGTCTCCGTGGTGGGCCGGCTGCCGCGGAAGTCAAAGCTGTTGAAGCCGACCCCCTGCAGGTGCCTCCTTCCCCGCCTCAGGAGGGCCTGCTGGTCCGAGGGGGCCCCGCTGCCCCCCACGGAGGACGAGGACGGGGAGGAGGAGCCCAGGGAAGGGCTGGAT